AAACCAAACCAAAACAAACTGTGGATATGTCACATGGCTGGAGATGGTGCATGATAATCAGTATAGCCTTATTCTCCAGACAGACCATAGTTCAAGTGTTTCAAATGACGTCGTCACTGGAATCTTCCTTGTCACTCCTTGACTAATGGCATCCACCCATAACTGCCTTTAAGATACTCTGGTTTGGTGGCAACCTGTTTCTGGTACCCTTTTTGAGATAATGGTTTCAAAATGCATGTGGTAAGAAAGCAAACTCCATGTGTGTTGACTATATTTTGACTTACAAAGAACAGTGTGAGACTAATTTTTGCTACCAGTTCAGACTGTAAATAGCTGTACAAAATTATAACAGCATCCGGAACATTACATTACATAACTTGAAGTTTACATACAGCTCTCTGCTAAACACCAGGCTGAAGCTTGCAGCCTTTTCTCTCACAGTAGATCCTGATGTTGTACCTGTCTTACTGCTAGTGTAATTCTGCTGTATAGTAGATATATACTGCTAGAATTATACTAGCAGTAAGACAGATGCAACATCATTCTACATCATTTATACAGTAGAATTCTAGTATTATAGTAGTACCACTATAATTGCTCTTTTTAAAGATCCATAAATAAAAGTGCACTAATACAAATCTGTTCCAGCACTGTTTGGATCCGTACCCCTGTTTTATAAGTAGCTCAAAACCAAGGCAGTATCAGTGAAAAAACTAGATGTAAAATGATACCAGGAAACAGTTTTATGGTTTGGCCCTAGTCAATATGCAACAGAACGTAAACAGGCATTCTATTCATAAAAGTACAATTGAATCAGAAGACATAAAAAGACTGGTTAAAGATTTGTAAAGCTGAACGTCACTAGTAAGCTTTTAAGTAATGTGAGAGCAAGCCTGTTAGATAATTGTTAGTGCAAACTGAATTTATCATTCAGTAGGCTTAAACAATTTTATTTTTCCCCCCTCATTATAAGTCTCTGCATGGTTAAAATGGTTAAAAGCTATACTTGTAACTCATCTCTTGAAGGTTTAGTGTAAGGCGTAATACAGGAATAGAATAGAAGGACTAAGACAGAATGACTTCTATAGCAGTTGGAGGCATTACTTAAGGTTTCTCCCATTACCATTGCGTATGGAAGCTTGATCAGAACTGCTTCTTGGCTTAATCTCTTTAACTTTCATACTTGATGGCAATGATCTGGCCAGTGTGGAATTGTTTGGAAAATACATTTTTCAGAAATGAGTTTTCTGTAAAAAAGGTAAGCAGAGAGGACAGATTTTATATTCTCTCAGTACAAAAACTAGAAGGAAATACAGAAAAAACACACTGTTGCGTATGGGTTTTGGAGGTTACTGACACTTTATACAGACTTGCACTATGGTGGTTTTGTCAGAAATGTTCTTTTTGTAAAAATCAGATTTTTAAAAATAATGACAATTAGTAAGATGCATTTCAGACTACCATCTCTCAGGCAAGATGAATTTTAGTAAATGGCAATACTTAATGCTTTCACTAGGTTTGAATGATAAAGACAGTAAAGTATTATCACGATCATCAAAAGATACAGTAAATCCTCTATGAGGAATACAACAATAGACTGTTATCAAGTGCATTAATGTCTGTACTGAACAGATCATAAGCACACAACAAGAATGCTAATTTAAGGCTTTTTAACGTGTTAATGCAAACAGTGCATTAGGGAAAGCTTAATCAAAGAAACCCGTAAGACCTATACCATATAAAGTATCACCACTTATTTTTCTGTTGCATGTAGTGTAATAATGAGAATATGGATGTTAACTCTTGTTCAGTAGGGTGATCAGTTTCACAAGGTAAAAGACACTGTCTCACACTGTAAAGTGGAAATGTCCTGTACTGTTGACCTTCAGCATAGCATCTTTCTGTTTAATCTTTATCTCATAGAGAGTGCTTTTTTTTTACAACAAATAGCAGCTGTTTAATGGCAAGAATATTTTCCTATTGCACAGCTGAGAACCAAGAATAGTTCTGTAACATACCCACCATAGATTTTCTTCATAAATAGGTGAAACTTGACATTTACTGGAAATTGAACATACTGTGTTTATTATTCTGCACCCAGAGGCACCACGGGAGTCCACCCCTTCCCTGTTGGAATATAAGGTGCAGGATGAAGTTGCCTAGAGTGACATAGTGTGACATAGACTGTTTATTGTTGCATCAATTTTTTAAATAATATTTTGTCACAAAACATAAAGAAAAAAGTCGTTTTTTTAGTTGATGGAGATTGATCCCTCTCTTTCCTTATACAAGGCAAAACATTTGCATATATCTGTGTGCGTCATTATTTTTGGCCCATCCAAGGCAGAGTGAAACCTGGGTGAAAGACGCCATCCGTCAGTTCACAACGCATCCTTTCGTGAAGGGATGATAAATAGTGGTATCACTTAGTGTCAACATTTCTTTCCTGCTCCCATTTTGTTAACACGGGGAGACAAATGCTGTATTCTCAATACTGCCAGTGAGAAGAAAACCAAGAATTCAGAAAAGAAGACTGAAGATTAAACATGTGTGTAGGAGTGTGTATGTGCATACACATGTACACATCTGTGTATAAAATCTGAGGTTTTTTTTCTTTTAATAGGAGCCTTGGGCCTTGTTCTCTCTATAATGATAGTTTGATTAATGTACATATGGGAAAAGATCCTTTCAAGTTAATCTGACTTGAATGAGAGACGTACTCCAAGGTAACGGTGTTTGAAAAAGCAGCAGAGAAGTTTAGCCATGTCTCATTACCAGCTCCATAGCTGGCTGCATGGTTGTATGCTGACTTTAACCCACACTTTACTTATGGGGCATCTAAAATCAAGAAACCAAATTTTTCTTTTGAAATTTCCCGTCCATGTAGCTCAGATGTTCCTTCTAGAGGAAATAAGCAGAGAAGGGAAAGATTGCCCTTGTTAAATGATTTACTAGCATTTATGCAGCTTACCCATTCTTAGGTTAAAAACCAAAAACTGAGGAGGAAAGGAAAAATAAAATTTACTCTTTGTATTTTTTTATGATATCGGCATGCCAAGATCTGTCAAATATTTGAGAAGCCATGCCATGTTTTTATCCACACAAAGAACATGGAGAAAGAGTGCAAGAGAATGCATAAGGTGAAAGGGAAAAGCTCTTACTGGGAAATACATAAGGTTGCAGAGGCCTGCAACATCCAGGTGAAGGATAACAAGAGAGGAAAAAGTAGTGGAGATGGAAAGAAGCTGTTCAAAATGAAAGAGAGGAAAAGGCAAAAGGAAGTGAATTAAAAAGAGAGGGAAACCTGCAGAGCTACTAGTGGAAATAAAGACATGCAGGTGTAGTGGACGAAGTAACACTGACTGGAAGATGAGAAGATGACAGCATTGGCAGAACACTGTTCAGGATGATCCCACAGGCCTACAATGCTCTACCCACCCACAATGCTTGATTCTGGGATGGTTTTCAGCTGGGAAAGACTGACAATCTGTTATAGGTCTGACAGTGTAACAGAGATGCCAGGAAATGTACTTGGTCGAATTCATTCAAATTCTTTCAGCTTATGCTGTCAGGTGCACTGTTTATACCTGTACTGGTAAATATACCAGAGGTAACAGAGTAGACAGTTCTGTGGGACTTGACAGACTGCTAGTAAGCAGTGAAAACCACTCTTTTTGCCTCTGCCCTCTTTGTTTGACCGTGAAAAGTAAGTAGAGGTTTATCCAGATATACCTCTCAAGTGAAGTGTACTGCTTTTACAGTCAGTTTTATGATTATAGTGACCATGTTGCTAAATTACCTGAAGATGAAAGCAGTAATTGCCAAAAGAAACCCCAAAAAAGTAGTACTGAACTGTTCTTTTCTGAATTGGTAAATATTCCAGTAGGTGCAATTTTCATTTGTTTGTTTATTTTGTTAGCTAAGATATTCAACATGTTTTTATTTATTCAAACATTTGGAACAGAAAATTGGCAGTTTATTTCCAAAAGAAAGAAAGCTGTGTTAATTCAGAAAGAGACTAGAGAAACTACAGTGAAAAATTCGTAGTGCACTGTCTCATATGAAAGCAAATAAAAATACTGTTGAAGCAGCAATGTATACCAAGTATAGGTCTAAATATTTTTATTGGTAAATGGTTGTTATTACTACCTGTAAAGGCTGTGATAGCATGTAATCTCAAATTCAGTCATACAGTTTTTGCAACTATTATTTGTGTGAGACTTCCACAGAAAATTCTTTCTTAGCTATCTTTTCATAAGGTTATCTAGTTATGGTACTGAGATAAGTTTTGATTATCATCTGCTGTTTCACTGCAGAGCTTCAAGCTGAGCCTGAATTTCACAGAAGGCAAAGTGTATCATACGCATTTATCTTAGAATAAGTAATCATAAGGTAAACTAGTAATGTATGTTTTCTTAAGTGTAGGTTTCTAGATATATAATTCAGAATATATGTTAAAAACCCACTGAATAGCTCAGCTGTTTTGTCCAGTTCTGTTTTTATTGGAAATAACAGTAAACACTTCATCTGCCTCAGAGATGGTGATTTGGTAATGGAAGATGTAATATAAAGTCACCATCAGCTGGGTAAGACTTAAATAAAAATCTATTTAGCAGAAACACATGCAAGGACAGGACTGCTCTATGGTGAAATTGCTTAGTCCAGCTGATACAGGTCTTAGTTCAATACTGACTTAAAATCTGAAGATAAGAATAAAGGAAACTAGTTTTCAGACATTTTTTGGATGGTAAGCTAGGGACTCAGTGCATTGCTTGTGAATTTTCGTATACATTTTAAAAATTGCTTTATATATTTTAAAAATTAGCTTTGCCGGAATTTCAGATCTCATTAGATGCTGTGATCAGCTTTCAGTGTACTTTGATCTGTGTATTGTAGTTCTGGGATTCTGCTGATACCATTGTTAGCTGGTGTATAAACCTACCTATAGTTATTTATTAATCTTTTCATTATACTGATTATGGTACTGTGTTCTTTTTCAGTGTACCTTGAGGACAGTTTTGTGAAATCCGGTGTATTCAACGTGTCAGAACTTGTGAGGGTGTCAAGAAGTAAGTTATCATTCGTGTTTAATAATTTCCAAAGCCTACTATAATCAAGTGAAGGTTTTTTCCTTGAAGTTTTTTCTCCTCAAGATGTAAGTTGCATAGAAAATGCCTATAACCAGGCATGATTTTGATATATTTGTCCACAGTATTGCTGTTCATCTTGCATGTGTTTGTAATAAAACAAATAAGGTCTTCTTCTGTTTCTTTGATATTTAAAGATTGAATCAATTTTTTATATCTCCCTCTGCACACCTTAATGGTCTGATATATCAATAAAATTACCATATGCAACAAAACTTCTATTAGACTTTCAGCTTTTTAAGGTTGCCCTAAACATCCTTGGATTTAGCTAAAATGTCTGATTATTCTTTTAGTTTGTTTTTTAATTTGTAGCTCTAAAAGAAAAATTGCAGCATGGATATAAAAGTCATAGCACTGGCTGTAATTAAATTTCTAATTACATTTTTTTTTGGCATCAGAAATATTACACATAAGAATGTACAAACACCCCCCCCACATAAAATGCAAATATAAAAGGACAGGTGGAGCTTCTATTGCAGAAAAAAAAAACCAAAACAAAACCAAAAAGAATATTAATTAGATCTGTTTTGTTGACAGTTAAGAATTTGCTATAATAGTATGGCATAAAACCCATGCACATTTTCATTTTACATTGCTTTCTGATTGTTTCTTTTCACCCTTTACTATTAAAGTATTTCTCCTAAGACTTCATTAAGAAGAGAAGAAGTATAGTTGAAATTTATAGTTAGCAGTGATGATTTCAGCATTATAGAAACTGAATGCTCCAGAATAATCTCTTTTCTGGTGAGGTGAGGAAAAACCAATGAGGCACAAGTTTCTAAAACTGTTTGTCTGGATTTTGCCCAGGTGTTAATTCTTTCCAGGTCAGGATGTTTGAAGAATTTCTTTAACTTACTGAGGCTTCAAATGCATGTGTTATTTCATTTGCTATGGTCAGAAATTAATATTCAACAATTAAAATTATCTGAAGTCCCTCAACAAAACAGTGAACATTGCTATCCTGCAGTGTTTAGGCATACTCTTTTTTTTGTGCTTGCTGAAGATACAGTTTTGTTGTTTTAGGAGGCTGAGGATGTATGAATTACAGCTTTCTTTTGTCAGGTGGTTAAGTAACATTTTGAAGTAGCAGGCTATTGAGATTAAAAAAGAAACAATATTGTAATTATACTATGAAATCGTGCCTTATGCAGCAGTAATACATGATATACTTCTAATAATAAGCTTTAAAGCATGTGGTTTCTGTGGGATTTCTTACCATGCATTTGTTTAACCTCAAGCCACAACAGAGTTGTACTTTAACTGTCAGGAAAAATACAGACCTACAGATACGTTACACAACATGCAATTATTCTTTTAAGTTCCAAAGGTAGTTAAAATGCACAATGCACAGACAATGAACAAAGGTAAATACACCACAATATGTAACATATAATTTATTCTTGAGTTGCCAGTCTGTATGGAACACAGGAGGTGAAGATAGTGCTGAGTGTATGTGTTTGTGTGTAGGTGTACATATGCAAAGCAGAACCTGTGGCATTGGGTGAAAGAAAAAGAAAGCAGCAAAACATGCTCTCAACACAAAGGCTTTTATTAATAAAAAAGAGTTACCATTAAGGAAAAGGATATTTTGTATCCCTGGGTTTGTTATTTCCTTTTTTTTTTTCCAGTTCTTTAATAAGTAATGCTAGCTGTCCTCATAAAGTCTGCATATTTCATTATAGTGCTTGATGTTTGTGTTATCTTTTTCATATTGGTGATTCTGTGTTATTACTTATAAAACAAACGTATTATGTCTGCATAACTGTTAAGGGATTTCTAGGTTCTGAGGAAGATAATTCACTTTTTTAGATACATTATCATTGATAGATGATTGTCTGCACTTGGTTTCTGCAGGAGGGAGAAAATTAGATACATGCACTAACATCTTGGTATTTGTCCAAGTGTTAAAAATGAAAAGATGGCTGAAAAGGTAGAAGATTATCTTTGACGTATTATGGTGTGTTTTTCAGCACCCATAACCCAGGGAACAGGAGTGAACTTCCCAATTGGAGAGCTTCCGAGCCAGCCATATTACCATGATATGAATTCGGGTGTAAATCTACAGAGATCCTTGTCCTCTCCACCAAGCAGGTAAAAACTTGAAGTTAGTGCTGATGTTTGAAAATACCATGTTTGATAGTGTAGGAAAAGCAATTCTCAAATTGTCAACAAATACTGTCAACAACCAACTATTTTATGAATTTCCTCTGATTTTATGAGGTTAGCTACTTATGTATGTCACCCTAATCTATGTACAGATATGTAAGTTATAAGTCTTGTAATTTGAAGTGTCGTATTTATTGCCTGTCGTTTCTTATGATATTGAAAATGGTGAGAACTTTTGTCAGAGTTTGACTTGCTTGCTAAATAATCTACCAAGAGAACAGCTGCACATAGTAAAAATGCTGCTGAGTTGGAGGAAGGTTTAGCAGTTGGGAACATGCTGGCAGGGCTCAGGGTGGTTGCAAACAAAAAGGCTGTCTTTGGGAGCTTGCTCTTGGACCTCTGTCTTGAGAGATATGTTAGGACAGCTACTGTTCCTTGTGGAAAAGGCATTAAGCTGAGTATGTAAAGACAAGGTGTCTTTACCCATAACATCAGCCCAGCTGATGAAAGTGTGTCCTACCTCACTCTTTCAGGGAGCATTTCCAAACAGAGTGGGAACAAGGAGGAACATGTGAGACAGTTACAGGCTCCAGATGCAATTTAATCTGAGGGACCCACTTCTTCCTTGTTCAACATGCTGCCTTCTCCAGTCTCTCAGAAAGACTCCATTTCCTCCCTCAGGAGAGGCTGGTGGGCCCACAGAGGGAGGGGACCTGCGGTGCCCTTCTTCCCGCTTCCAGATAACGTGCTGTCTGTCAGGCCTCTTGGGCCCCTTGGTTTTATGAAATTATTTGATATACCACGAAATCATAAACACTATGGGACCTGTCATTGCCCCACATTTCTGCAATCCAGTGAGTCAAGAAGTGTCTGCACAGTGGGACAGGCTTAAACAGGACTGTCAGGGGGCTGAAGTATTCTTTCACCAACATCTGGTGCTTCTGAGTTATTTTACTCATGTTCCCCTATTTCATTCCATCATATTTTAAGTTTAGCAGTACACCACATACATTTTAGGAGTGGATGGATTAATTAGAATATATGGATTATTTAGAATAGATGGATTAATTATCACAGTGTTGTAGTAGTGGTATTAGTGACGATAACAACAACATATCATTGAAACCTTCATCCTAGTTTTCTTTGGCAGGCAATATAACAGCTCTGTATATATTGCTATGAAGAACCTTGACTTTCCTCCACTGTAATGAAGTTCTGCCTCATTTTATATGGTGTAACTTGAAATATGGGCCTTTTGTTGTTTTTGATTAAACTAGTCAGAAGAGAAAAGTGTTTGTTTCAGGCTAGACCTCTCTGAAAAGCTTAGGAGTTTAACCTGGTGAAGTGCAGTAAACTAGTTTTTTCTCATTATTCATATTCACAAAAGTTCCTGTTCTACCTTGTCTTTGTTAGTAATACTTTCCAGTGATTTGTTTTGCTTTCATGGTTTCTGCATAATATTTAATACCCTCATGACACAATCTTTCTTTGGTAGACTACAGCAATTGGTTTCTTGGTTGTTCAGTGAAATGCTGGTAGACTTTTATGTTACATTCTTGCCATCTCTGAAATATTAAGTCAGGTGAAAAATGCAAGCACATACCTGCATTACATATTTTTAAGTAACACCACCTGTGCATGTTAATGTAGACTCTAACATCGATTTTTTTTCCTTTGCAAGCCTGAATTACTCTCTATTGAGATATTTGTTGAAATCCAAACAGTTTATATACCACTACTGACTGATTAACATATTCACTGCCAAATTTCACAATTCTTCAACAGCAAAAGACCCAAAACTATCTCCATAGATGAAAATATGGAGCCAAGCCCAACAGGAGACTTCTATCCTTCTCCAAATTCACCAGCTGCGGGGAGTCGGACATGGCATGAAAGAGATCAAGGTGAGTAACATGGGATTATTTTGCCTTGAAGTATATTCAAATGTACAAGGAGTTGTTGCATCTACCTTTCCATTCCTGTAATAAAATGATGGTTTTTAAGAATAATATTTTTTTTCTGTCTAGAGTAGTATTTGCTGGTTTTATAAATATAGTTAAAACTAACAATCAATAAGATATTGTATAAACAACTGTGTAATAATTTCTCCATCTGGTGATAGACTTACTATTTGAAAAGATGGGTGGCAAGTGAAGTACTTATACTGTGATATGCTTGTATCATCCCAGCAGAACTGATACGTGATATGCTGTGATCATCCCAGCAGAATTCTGAGTACAGTGCTTTCAAGAAAAAACAAAACGTCTAGACATTATGGTTTAGTCAACACTAGATTATGCAGTTTCTGTTATACCATAACAGACTCCTATATGTGCATTTAGTCCACTCCATGTGATTCAGAATAGGTTCAATAGGTTATTTCTGAAGAGCTCACATGTAGCTCCATGGGACTATATCCACATGCTAAAGGGTGTTGGTAAGTGTTGTGTTCCGGATTATCTGAAATAACAAACATGTTTGTGTGGAGAAGAAAGTTATGTCTGTCAAAACAGTGAAATTATTTGTCACAATTTCCCTCATGTTATCTTGATGCTTTATAAACCCAGATGCCACTGTAGTCTTTTCCCTCCACTTTTGTGATGTGAAAATGTATTTAAACTCTTATATTTGAACAGTGTTTGTTAATGGATTCTGTGGCTGATCCATGGTGCTGCAGCTACCTGGAGAGTTTGTGAAATGTGCAGCACAGAGTGAAAAAGTGAAATAAAGACATTGCTTCCCTTGCTGATCTTCTGATATTTACCCTTCTTTTCCATGTCCACTCTTCATCATTGCTCTCCATTCTTCAATAACTGACTGACCCTTTGGTCTTACATAATTTTTATATTGTTTTAAGGCTTTTTTTTTTCTTTTGCCTTTTTTTTTTCCTGCTAAGTTTTCTCTTTCATCTCCATGTGCAAGGTAGCATGTGATTGGTGTTTAATTTAGCTGCCTTTTATTTTCACATTTCCATTGTAGTTGGTCTCCTTTGAATTTGCTTCTGCTTACCCTCTAATCTGTTTTCATTATTAGGCTGTTTCTCTCACACAATGTTTACTAGTCTTTTTCTTCATAATTTCTTCTGTACTTGCTATTTCTCGTGGAGACTTAGGTACTGTCTTATTTTTAGCTGTTTGCAGGGTTCACTTTTGAATCTTTACAAAAAATCTTACCTGTGGCTTTGCCTAACCAAACTTGAGAACAGAAAATAGGACTTCTGACAACCAGAATCTTCCTCTTTATGCAAAATATTTTCCTACCTGTTTTGCCAGGAAACTTAAGTAAATTTTTCATGAAAGATCAGATTGTACCTCAAATAAATTTTGTATTTTTTAGATAAATTATTTTGGAGCTGTGAAAACAGCCCATTGTTTCTCTCTAAACTGGTCTCCAGTTTTCAGGTTAACTCCTTTTGTGCTTCTGAGAGAGCTGCAGGGGTTTCTGACAGAGCCGTATTGACATCTGAGCACAAGTCCTGCTGACAGAGCCTTTCATGAATTATCTCTATAGTTCTCAAATATCTCAGTTACATTTTAGGCCTTGAATCTGCTTGCAAAGAACTATGTTCCATGAACCCCGGATTTGTTCAGTTTTATCAGCTTTCTTCATGTTACAATTATCAGTAGTGAGTAATGTTATAATTCAGACTGCTTGAGTGTATTTACAATGAACCTTAATTCCTGTGCCATAGGGTGGCTAGACTTCTGGATTGAAACAGCCTTTAAGTTTGTATGTTTAATAAACTAGGGAACTTCAATATGAGGAAAAGAGAATAAAGGAGATAGACTTAAATCAATGTATTTTACTTTTGCTTCCTGGAGTTTACATCCCTCCCTGAATATTGTGTCTTCCAGCACTACTGCACCTAGTGAAATTTTACTGGATCCTTGGCAGAGAGGCTTTCTTTGAGACACTATAAATAATTTTGCTTTTTTCTGTTCTTAAGATGTTCTTCCATTCCTGCAAAGGCACAGATATGCCACTGTCCAGTGTGAAAACTATTGTACGAGGGAAACATAAGCCTTGTGCCCATAAATGGTTATGTTTGGCTCCAATCACTTTCAGAGGTTATTCTGCTGTTGCAAAAACTCTGTAAGGTGGTAACTGCAATGTCTGTCCTTGATACCTGGCCTCATTGGGAAGCGATATGTGGCAGCTCCTGGCATATTTGTTCTGCTGCTAGTTTGTAATATGCTTGCTTTCATCTTCATGGCACTGATTTCTTCTCTCTAGTGACCAGCAGTAGGACCTGAGAGAATGGCATGAAGCTGTGTCAGGAGACATTTAGGTTGGATATTAGGAAAAGGTTTTTCACCCTGAGGGTGATTGGGAAGTGGAATAGGCTCCCCAGAGAAGTGGTCATGGCACTGAGTCCGACAGAGTTTAGGAAGTGTTTGGACAATGCCCATGGTGTACTTCTTGGGGCTGTCCTGTGCAGGGCCAGTAGCTGGACTTTGATGATCCTTGTGAGTCCTTTCCAGATGAGGATATTCTATGGTCATTCTGTGATTCATACTAGCATGTATCTGTATAAAGCTCCCTTTGGACACAGAGGTCTTACCATGATATGGTGTTTATGAAAACCTGTTTTTCTGTTTCCTTATGACTGCAAACACAAAGATAATAGCAATAAAAGTTTGGAGGTGGTTTCTATGCCAGAGATCTCACTGGTATTACTTCCCTCTCTCCTATGGATATCCACATGCCATATGAAGTATGGGGTATATGAAAAAGAAACAAACCATTTGGGCTCACATTTGTGTTCATCCAGTGTCAAGAGGGAAGGGAACACTTATATGCTCACAACAGGTACTGCATTTTCAGGCAGTGTCCAAAGGTCATCACCATCAGAAATGTGAGTGTTTCTACAGTACTTACAAATATGACTATACAGAGTTAACATTTTTGTGGGTAGATAGCTTGTCTTTCACTCTGATGGAATTTTAACTTTTCTAATAGAAATAAAATGAGGAATGGAATCAATACTAAGATACAGTGTTACTGATTTTAGTTTCATTGTCTAAGTTTTGAACCTGAGAGAGAGAGAAACCTAACTTCTGAGCTTAGATAGATCTAGTTTCTTCATCTCCATAACTAAGTGTAATGTATTTTCATAAAACTTGCAATTACATAGCTTTGAAGGACTCTTTTATTATGCAGGCTTTTCATGTCTTTAACTCTATTAAATGTCTTGGCAGTGGTAGTTTGGAACTGGAAATAGACACAATAAAACAATGCCAGCTGAAACAGATTGGAATAACATAGGAGTTTCACAGGTGTGTAAGGGATATCTTACAATTTCTGTAGAGAAAATGGGAGAAAAATTAGTGGGAGAAAAATTACTGAGATTAAAAAGAGGACAAATAAAAATTTGCAGTGGAGTGAGACAAGTTAGATCAACCTTTCATTGTTTTCAAAAACAAATACCATGTAGTTTAGTAGGTGAGTAGACGTTAGGACAGAAGTGATTCTACTGTAATCTCCATAGCTTCTATAGCTTCTCCGTGCAAGCATGCATCATGAGGGGTAGGAAAATGACTACAAGAGTAATTGTGGTGTAGCCAGGATGTCGCATTTGTGAAACTAAGAAAAATAAATCTACCCCAGTTACAGCAAAATCTTGCTCATACCAGACTCTGCTTTCAGTTGCAAAACTCTAGATTTTGTCCTTTTGCTGTTAACTGTCTTCCTGTTATGCTGCTGCCAAAAATATTTTGATAAGATTTCCAGATGTTGTGCTTTATAGTTTATTTTCAGGGAGCTGGCTGTTTGAGGATGTAATTCTAGGAAGAAATAAGAAAGCTTACTTGAAAAATAGTAACTTTAGAGATGGCATGAACTTGGTTAAATACAATCCACAAAGAATCACATTACTGATCTATATAAAAATATAAAACCTCCTCTTATTAACCAAAATTAACATTAAAAATAAATTTTTATTTGTATTTATTTAAGTCAGGTTATAAATCTTTATGGAAGAAAAGAAAATCTTATGATGCCATGATACTGTCCCAGAGGTTTACTTCATTGGCTTGCAAAAAAGTCTGTGACTATTTTAAAAATATATGCAAACATGAAGGTAGCAGTTTCAAAAACAAATGAAAAAATACCGTAGAATTGCAATATTTTTTTTTTTCCATACAGCTGTACAGTTATTGTGGGAAGAGTCTGTAGTTTGCCTTGTTTCTTCCAACTGGATATCTTAATAACTTCAAAAATGTCTGAATCATGTCTTATCAGTTCTATCAGTAGAAAATATATTTTATATCTAAAAAATAACTTGCTGTCGATCTCTTCCAGTCTTCCTTTTTCCAGGATGCTGTTGCTCAATTCTTTACAGGTTTCCAAATTAAACAAAATGTTGAGTTCCTGCAGTAGTAAGACTTTATGAAATAGTTATAACTATCTGCATGAGCAAAATTGCTGATGCTTTTATAAATTTAGAAATTTTATGCAGTTAAAAAAAAAACAATCCACCTCACAATTTGGAAGAGGAAGTTATTAAAAATGCGTAAAAAACTAGTGACTAGTGCAGTAGTGTGCAGATAAAGAACACCTAGGATCTAATAGCCTGAGAACTGTTGGTGGACATCTCGATTTACTAACTTGTAAGTAAATCAGACACTTTTTCCTTGACTGTTTCCTTAAGGCAACAGGAATATGAAAAGAGGGGAGCAGAGTGTATACATATATGGCTTCCTTTCTGAAAACTGTCTTGAAAAAGTTCATTAACATAGTTGCAGACAATTTCAGTATTTGTCCTTGAGATCTGTTTGACTGTTCTAGTGTTACAATAATGCGTACATTGGAAATGAATTAAACAGGGGTTATCAACTATGCACACTGTTACAAAAATGGAGATATTCATGTGGATTTCCATAGTAGTCTGATGTCTAGAAATGTC